CATGATGACAGTGATGATGATAATGACAGTGATAACCAAGATGACAGTGAAAATGATGATGACAGTGATAACCATAAGAGTGATAATGATGATGACAATGATGACAGTGATGATGATGATGACAGTGATGACGATATCAGTGATGATGATGACAGTGATAACCATGATGACAGTGATGATAACCATGATGACAGTGGTAATGATGATGAAAGTGATAACCATGACAGTGATAATGATGATGACAATGAAGACAGTGATGATGATGATGACAGTGATAACCATGATGACAGTGATGATGATGATGACAATGATGACGATAACAGTGATGATAACCATGATAACAGTGATGATGATGATGACATTGTCGATGTCAGTAATGAATTCCAATGAGGAAAATTAAAAAAAATTCAAACGAAACCCAACACCATAAAGTCAATTATTTCTAAGCTGTTTTTCTTGGTAGTTTAATTTGTGTTGTTTTGTTTACTCGACGGAGATAGTTGGATGTATATTAAAAGTCTCTGTTTTTTTTTGTTTTGTTGTTGTTGTTGTTTTTTTTTGTTGTTTTTTGTTTTTAACTTGAAAGTCTAATATCTCAGGGATTATTCTATTTAACAAAAGAATGGAATGCCAATACGATATGATCTGATTTAACAAACTGTTTTGTTGATTTTTTAAAGAGTGCTTATTTTTAAATTCAAAAATATCCTTTCTGCGGGGTTAAACCAACATATTCTTTACTTTTTGTTACGTCTACGAGTTTCACATTACTTTGCTTTGTCTTGCTTTAATTATTTTATTCTACTTTATTTTTAGTATATATTGTACATATTTTATATCATCGTTTCTTTTTATTTCMTTTTCTTTTAACTTTTCTTTGTCATTTCACTTATTTTATTGTTCACAACCTTAACCATATACGTTTTGAAGCAAGTAAGATACAAAGACTAATTTAAAAGGTTTTTTTAAAAAAATAAAATGAGTTCACCACCATTCAATTTGTCCCATTGATATCTATGCATTTGCTTGTACCCCTAATGTCAATTTATGCAAATAAAACAATAATGCAAACGAACTTGTTTCTCCTGTGAAGACTGAATTATTTCTTATGTAAATCAGATTGGATCAGATTTAAGTGCTCCTGTCATAGCTGCCATCACGTGATGGCACAAGGACAGGATAATTGCCTCTCATTCAATTCCCCTCGAGCAACAGACAAAATTGTGCATCAGAAAAAGGTTTTCATTTCTCGGCTCATGCCGTTTAATTCTCAAGAAAATTGTGCTTATGTGATTATGGGAATTAGTACAAGGGCCTAAAGTGTGCAAGATTGCATGTCTGTCTATAAAAGACAAATTTCCCAATCCTGCACCGTCCCCTATACCTGCTTCTCTTTCAATTCCCCTCTACAAATGAATTTGTTACTCAAGGCTTCCAATCGATTTTTTCTTCTTTTTTCTTTTTTTACATTTCCAGGTTCATGCCGTCAAGTCTACTCCTGCCCCTACAACCACTGGACCCAATGGTCTGGGAGTGTTCCCACTGGGACGTGTAGGCAGCAGTCTCGTTCAAGAAGCTACAAAGAAGCCGTCAGGTAACTCCCCTCTCCTCTTCTGCCCTCTCCCCTTTCTTCTCTTCTGTTTCCATTGTTCTCGTACTTTTTCCTCCTCTTCCTCCTCCTTTTGGGGGGG